CACCTCATGGGATGACTTATGCAACAATTTCTTTGCAAGGTACATTCCACCTTCTAAGACGGCTTTATGAGAAGTGAGATTACAATGTTTCATCAAGAGGAAGATGAACCATTGTTTGAAGCATGGGAAAGATTCACATCACTTCTACTCAAGTGTCCTCATCATGGAATATCCGATTGGTTACAAGTTGAAAGTTTCTACAATGGGTTAACGAAGGAATCACGAAGCCACGTCGATGCGGCTAGTAGAGGTGCCATTCGGAACAAAGAAGTCGGAGAACCTCAACAACTAATCAAAGAGATGTCCCTTAATAGTTACGATTGGGGTGACGGAAGAAGGGGTAAGAGCATATCAAAGAGAATTTTATTGAAGATTGAAGAATCATCATCTCTATCAACCCATTCAAGAACTTTCCAAGAAGATCGATCAAATTGCATCATCAATGAAAGCCAATGGGAAGCAACTTATGAAGTGTGATTGGTGTGGTGACTCGAGTCATACCATGAAAGAATGCAAGTCAATGATCGAAGCCTCTATTCAATTCGAGGAAGCCAACTTTGTTGGAGGTCAATCCCGAGGAAACAAGCCTTATAGCTCCACTTATAATCCGGGATGGAGGAGTCACCCAAATTTCCTTTGGTCTTCTCCGACGGAATGGAAACCTCCGGGGTTTCAATCTCAAGCTCCAATGCAAAATGCAAATTCTAGGCCGAGCCAACCAACATACCAAGGGGAATATCAAGAACAAAGTTGACCCTCCGATGGTCGACTTGCTAAACTTGAAGACTTGGTAGGGCAATTTGTCACACCATCCAAAAAGACGTTTGAAGCTATTGACAAGTTCTTAGAAAAACCGCAACCAAATTCTCGAGTTTGGAAGCGGGACAAAGAAATCGACAAGCTTCGCTTCAAAATCTTGAAGTCCATCTAAGTTCATTGGCTCAGACTATCTCATTAAGACCTCAAGAAGCTCTACTAGGAATACCGAGCCTAACCCAAAAGAAGGATGCCATGCGGTAACTCTAAGGAGTGGCCGGCCATTGAAGTAGATTCCTACACCAAATCCAAGGATCCCGTTAAGAGAAGTTCCTCAACAGGTTGTTCAAGAAAAAGAGTTAGCTCGGGAGGAAGTTCAACCTTACGTTGATGTCAATGTTGAAGATGAGGAAATGTCTAAGAAGACTCATGAACGAGCCAACATAGAAAGCCCCTTATCCTAGACGGTTATTGAAAAGCAATCTCTATCATGAATGTGCACCATGGAAAGATATCTTGAAGCAGTTAAAGGTAACCATCCTCTTCCTAGCAATCACGTGATGTAAGTGGAAGTAAGATCACCTTAAGGTTTGGTGAGGAGGAAATAAGCTACAAGATGACTCCAATCCCAAATTTTCACAAGTATTACAAATGGGATGATGTCAAGATGGATTGTGAGCCGTTTACACTGCCTACCACACCACCTTCAAGCCTCGAGATAGAATGGTTCAATATGGTCTCCCATGTTGACCCCCATGACAATCAAGTTAAAGGAGTGAGTGATTCTTGCAAGGCTATGAAGAAACCGGGCCAGGCAAAGTTTTCTTGCGAGAGGGAAACACAAGAGTTGTTCAAGGTTTTCCATCTTTCCGATGGTCATGGATGAAAGCTCAAACGATTCGTCTTTGAAGAGAGACATCCAAAGAAGGGAATCCGATTTGACAAGGGCGACTTAGCTACTATTCTTGAAATGAAGAGTTCGGGGAATGCTACAAGCCATTCACTGATAATGACATCTCTACTAAGGAGCTTAACCCTCACCAACTTGCAAGTCAATTCTCAAATGGATCATTTCTAGCTCAAGTATCGGATGCGGCTTTCGAGAGACTCCATGGTCTTCACCTTGGACTTCGCCACAAGTATGACTTCTACGAAGGGTTTTTAGTGAAGTATGGAGATCTCACCATTTGAGCTTAAGAAGTCAAGTCCAGAGAAAATACTTTTAAAGACGCGCTTGTTAGGAGGCAACCCAACATTTCGGTTTTTCCCTTTTACCTTTTGTTTGAATAATTGTTTAGTTAGCACTTTTGAAATTCATTGAAAATGATTGATACAACTTAGCCCTAACTTTTGGATGTATGTTGAATGGTTGGTTGAAAGTTTAAACTTAGGAAAGTGGAGAAAATGAGTTGTCTTGAACAGGGCAAAGATCGTGGTCAAGATCTTGGGTTCCCTAGCCCGCGATCTTGTCCGTCCCTATTTAAGGAATGGAATCCCTCAAGATCTAAGTGTGTTCATTCTCTCACACTTTTCTATATCTTCATGCCATTACTCTCCACCCCTCTTTACTCTTTCAACCTACATTCTTTAATCCCCTTTCTTAGCATCTTTTGAGAAGGATTTTTAATTGCATTTGGATTCCCATCATGTCCCTAGCAAGATAAGGTACACTTTCACATGATTGTTGGGTTTTTAATGCCTTATCTTACCTAACATGTTCTGAATGTTTAGAACCATTAATGCCCATGTTATCCCAATGATGACATCTTTTTGGCATGGAAGTGCTCTTCTTCTGTTTATTGAACTATCTATGTTACTTTAGAAACCTAGGTGTGTTGTTCTCATGCATTTATGACACTTTCAAAAACCACCCACCAAGTGTTCGAAGAAAGTTTCCAACCACATAGAGGTTATTATTTGCAATCCTTTTGATTTGGTACCTACTTCATAGCATGGGGGTGACAATCCCTAATTGTTTCTATATTTGTTTGGGATATCCTTTAGTATAATATCTTGGAACTATCCCTCTACTTAACTTCCCCTTTACCAAATTCTTAGTTTCACTCAATTGTGGGGGAAGAAACTAGGGGTCTAATTGTAGTTCACGAGAATGCTACTCTTTTAAAATGTGATTTTTGGATTGATGGGTTGTTCATATGTGAACCACTTGTTTTGTAGGATAAAATACAAGGCCAAAGGTACTGGACATGATGAGAGTTCACCGTCTCGCACCTCTCGCCTCGCCAAGGTCAAAAGAAGGAATCAAGGAGATCCAAATCAAAAGAAGTGTTTATTGAAGTACCTCATCCAACATCACATCTTCAACATCCACCGAGGGTATCGCATCAAATTGATCAAGCAAACGTAAAAGGCGGCGTCGAGCACATCACTCACTATTTTTTTGGACCACGTGCCCAAGCAATTCACAAGCAAACTTCTGTGGCTTCAAGGATTACCTTTAGGCGAAAGTTCTTGTTTCAATTGGACACTTTTCCCCCAACTAGGAATTGAAGATGCAATCCACTTTAAAGTACAGAAGTTGGCATGGCTCAAGTTACTCTCTATTCAAGAAAATATATACTGCATGCTTGTTCTAGAATTTATCAGTACTCTTAATATTCGAGATATGAGGGGTGTCGCCGACCTTGAAGATAACATCCAGTTTCAACTCGGAGGAGAACATCACCATATGTCGATCCGGGAGTTCACTAGAGCGATGGATATCTACCCTGCGAGTTTCATTGATTCATCTAAAGACTTTGCTACCTTGACAAGGGAATCTGACTTCCCTTGTTTCAAGGCGTTTTATGAGAATAAAGTCAAGAAATCCGATATTCGACAATGGGATGTGAAGTTATCAAAAGCAGTGAGGTGAAGCCGGAGTGGAGGCTTAAACACCACGTGATTGCTAGATCCGTGGGAGATAAAAACCGGAGCAAGGGCAACCTAATTGCTCGAGATGCCACCATGTTTCAGAACATGCATTTTCCACGGTCTCTTCATCTTGGTTTATCCATCCTTTCTATATTCGAGCGCTACGAGACGGATCACTGACTTGTCACATTTCACGGAGGAGTGTTTGTCACCCGACTTGCCAAATATTTTCAAGTTGACTTCGGAGTCGTTCAATTTCAAATGGATAGCCATACAATGCCTATGTCCTTCAAGGTTTTGAAGTAAAAGCTTAAGGTGCTTCACATGAGCAATGATGGAATTTGAGGGGTTCAAGGATTCCCATTACCAACCCCCCAATACTTTGGAGATGGAAGGTACAATTTTCCGTCTTCCCAAAGTTAGAATGGCAAGGGACCGAAGAGGTTTGGAAACCAAAGAAGATCAAGAAGAAAGTGTGCATGAAGGATGAGATACGCCTATTCCCACTCTCCAACCGATTCACCCACCAAGCAACAATGCAAGAGATTATAGGATTGAAGCGATGATAGCAACCATCCTCAACAACTAACGGAGGGAGAATGAGGCACGGTTCAACATCATGGCGTGCGTCCATGTGATCATGGAGAAGATGAACATTCCGATTGAAGATGTATCGGCCACATTCAACCGCGTCACCTCTCCAACACCTCTACACGATGAAGAAGAAGGACCCTCCAAGGAGGAATGAGTTCTAGGCATCCAGGGCCTACGTTCTATCTTTTCTTTTTCTTTGCTTTTCTTCATTTCAATCAAAACAATGTTTAATTATCGCATGAATTTCTTTCGACTTTTCGTACTTTAATTATGCTAGTAATCGTAGCGAATTTTTTCAGAAATAGCACCATTAAAAAAAATTACAAAATAGCACCCAGGCCATACAAATTCCAAAAGTAGCACCCTTTTCTGAAAACTGCACGGCCAAGGTGCGGTTTACTTACAAACCGCAACCTGAGGGTGCGGTTTGAGTTTCAGAAGCTAAACCGCACCTTAGATAGGCGGTTTGCTTTCTGACCTACCAGAACCGCATCCTGGCAAGGCGGTTCTTTGGCTGACCTAGCAAAAACGCCTGCTAGGATGCGGTTATGTTTCTCTAACACAAACCGCATCCTCAGGGTGCGGTTTTCATTTGCCGACACACAAACCGCACCCCCCTGCTGTTTGTGTGTCGTCCCCATTTTCTCGATAACCAGCATGTTGGCCATGCAGGTTGACAGACGTGGGGCTGCATGGCAGATGAATACCGCAGCCTCCCCCTGCGGTTTTTTCAGTGATGAAAAGCCTATAAAAGGCAGCCCCGGGAAACCTCTTCTCTTCACACCTCTTCTTCTTCTTCTTCTTCTTCTTCTTCTTCTTCATCTTCAATTTTCTGTTGTAGCACCCTACTTTTTATTGTTTTTGCGATTAACGTTATCTCGTAAGTTTATTTTGTATTAATTTTTATTGTGATTTGTGATTTTTATGATTTTAACTGAATTACGGTTTTATTGCAGATGGCACTCCAAAAGTTCACGCTTGGGTTACGTTGGAATGTTAGACTGGAAAGGGGGTCACCTACGTCGGTGGAATTTTTCAGAAAATAAAGGTCGCTACCAGACCGATGCTTGAAGAACTCCATCAAATGTGTACTAACGTTACTTGCATGGATGGCACGAGAAGAGTTGATTGTATGGTATACTGATATCCAAACATAGAAGGCGGGTCGTTGTGGCATGAGGAATATCTCATAACCACTCAGGATGAAGTGGATGCCATGCTCGAATTCTTGAGGTCCAATAATCTTTCCAAAGCCGAGATGTTCGTTTACACCGAGGCGGCCGAAGGCGTTGGAGGTCATTTTGGAGACGGGCAAACATCTGGTATCCATGATGGAGGTGAATTATATGGTGATCATCCCTACCAAAGTTACCATGATCCTCATTCCTACTTTCAGTACCAAGAGCAAGGTGAAGATCCTCATCAATCTTTCCCATCATATGAAGAAGAAGTTCAACAACACCATGCCAACCAACCCGAGAACAACTTCCATTCAGGCAGCGGCAGTTTTCACAACTACCATTATGGAGCTGATGAAGGTGCCTTTCAGGATCTGGATCAGATGGAAGATGCCCTGCCAACACCAGTTAGTGACCCCTCTGATGAAGAAGAAGAAGAAGAAGAAGAAGAAGAAGAAGAAGAAGGGAGCAATGTTAGTGCAGACAGCTCCGTCCCTCCTGAATGTGCTGATGATTCAGGAGGCCCAGAGTCAGAGTCAGATGATGATGAGGTGTCTCATGATAATCGCTTAAAATCCCATTTCCTTAGGCATGCATCTCTTTACAAAGAGTCTAAGTAAGTGGCGCTATGCATTCAATTAAATTATTGAAAACAACCAATACGATTAAAAATTATCAAATTTATTTTATATTCCACTAAGTACGTTAACAAATTAAAAGAAAGAGAAATGATGAAGAATTATATGTACCTCGTGATCGTTCCAAACATCCCTTGAACGATGGTTGGGTTGGTCGTACAACACGGTTGGATCACTAGGCCCTTGATCAACATAATACCGCTGGTTGTATATATCCATGTCGTCCCCAACCTATGAGTGAATAAAAACAACATTAGTACATAGATTAATTGAAAAGGTTATAACAACAACATTTGGTAAATGAGTACGTACCGCACATGGAAGGCGCGGTTCACGGCGACCAAGGCGTTGACCGTTCGCCAAGCACGCGGTCTTCGATCCCTGACGCGGATCGCTGCGCTGGCGCGCAGTCAGCAGTTGGATCGCCCCCTCATCCAATGGTGTTGGGGACCGCCGACTCGGGAACACAGACCGCACGCTCACAGTGCAGTTTTCAAGCTGCCCTAGCGTGGACCGCTCTCCCGTTGTGCGGTTTGCACATAAAACGCACCTTGAAGGTGCGATTTATATGTAAAGGTGCTATTTTTGGAATATTTGTGGGCTGGGTGCTATATTTGTAAAAAAAAAAATAATAACGAGCTATTATTGAAAAAATCCTTAATCGTAGTAGTAGTACCTATTATATATACTTATATATCATACCTATAACTCCTATTTGTCTTTCTCTCTATCTTATGCACTTTATCGTTGTGAAAACCACCAGGAAGACAAAGACTATATTTGTGAACCTTCACCAACCCACAACCCGATCTATGGACATTCACGATCTTTCCTTTGAAAACTCCCACATTGAGGACAATGTGTTGCTTAAGTGTGGGGGGTGTTTGTGTTTGTTTGAATGTCTATCATGATTGGTTGAACCATTGATTGCTAGCATTTTCCCTCGTTTGTGAATGTAAGACGTTGATAAACACTTGTGGGAGTGTCTGCTAGTAATCGTTTTTATGTTGTAGTGATGAATGGTGAAATTTTAGTGCTTTTGGAAACTTGAATGCTACACCCAAATTTTTTCAAATTTGAGGGTTCCAAAACACTTTGTCCTTGCAATTACCTACTTGATGTGCTTTGACTTGATTAGATCGATTGTTTTGTGGTGCATCTTAAGTGATAGTTGCATCTTAAGTGATAGTTGCATGATTCTCTTTTATGTGAACTAGAAACTTTTTGAATTTGTGCTTAAAAATAGGATAAAGAGGTTCTCACATGAGTGCCAACCGAGCAAAGAATTGAGATCAACTGTTAAAGAATTGTTCTCTTGGATCAGAGTTCCCTTCGAGGATGTGTTTGGGCTTCTGATAGCTTTATTGCGTTCTGATCATCTCTTACTACTTACCACCCCTAAACACCTCTCCTCCTCACGGAATCGTATGCTAAGGACCAAAGGTACCTTTTAGCGATTCACGAGACCTCATAGATCTCATTTGTACCCAACATGTGTGGCAACCCAATGTGGAGTGCAGGTTGGGACGTGGTCCTCGGGCTAAGACGAATATGACTATTAACTTCCCCACATGTGACCTTGAAAGGGAAGGCTATGATTCATCTGCTCTTGGTCATGAGGGAGAGATGCTATTATGCAAAGAAAAAATTGAAGATTCGGTGCAATGTGCATAAACGAAGAAAAAGGAGACCGAAAAATGACAACTCCTACCCCAAAAGGAAGAATAAAAGCACCACCAATAGTTCTAGTAGTCGTCTGTTGTCTGAGAATCCCCCGGAGCACAATTTTTATGATCAGCCTAAGGTAGTGGATATAGTACTCGCATGGGAGTTTGTGCTTGCAAGGTAGGAAGGTAGTAGCATTCGTTCATCCCTGTATAGTCTCATCTATGCAATGAAGAACTAGCATGCATACCTCATCAATTTGGTCTATCATATTGCATTAAGTTTGAGTAGGTTTGCTTGGGGACAAGCAAACGCCTAAGTGTGAGTGAGTTTGATAACACCAAACTTGGTGTTATTTACCCTACATATTTAGGTATGTTTTTTTTCCAATTCACGTGCTTAAATGTTTGAACATGATCAAATACATCCCTATTGCGTTCCTATTTGATTTCGCTGTGATTCTAGGGTGTATTAGTCGATATATGCAAATTAGGTACAAAAGAAGGCCACAAGTGTAAATAAGGGGCAGTTCGCTAAAGATCGTGGCCTAGAAGAAGCCAAAGATCACGGCCAGAATCACAAGCCACGAAGACCAATTGGATATCGCGGCCCAGAAGCTAAAGATTGCGACCGCGATCTTGGAGGCTTAGGGCGCAAACTTCGCATGGAGGGAGCCTCGAAGAAACAGAGAGTTTCCCCAGTCGAATCACGACCAACGCTTATCTTGCTCGCGAGAAAGATCACGACTGTGACTCGTAGATCGCGACCGCGAAGTCATCACGGGATCTTCCCCCTTCAGAAGGCCATGACAATGTCGTCTTGAGATCGCGACCTATCCTAAGAAGATCCCATAGTGAACTTTCTCGAGTCCATAATGCCTATAAATAAAAGACCCCTTTCCCCTTTTTAGGAGAGCTAATTTTGAGAGAAATTTTTTGGTTCTAGAGAGAGAAGAGAGAGAAGCTGAAGGAAGGAGAAGAGAATGAGAAGAAGGAAGAGCTAGGAGCAAGGAGGATCTTCCCCAACCTCAAGTCTTCTTCTGTATCTACCATGTATCTTCTTTCCTCCATTATGGAGTAGTTCTCTAAGGTACTAGGGGTTCTATACCCCCAAACCCTAGTTTTAGGATTTACTTTGTATATATAGATGTTTTAGGGTTTGAATGAATGAATGTGTTTCCCTAGTTGATTTTAATGCCACTCTTTCCTAAATGATGACGCTTGGGCAACTGTGCCCCAATCTTCCCTCTTAGCCTGCTTTATGCTACCGCGCTGGGTACGGAGTTATAGGGTTAGACGGGTATGCGCCATCTGGCGAGTTTAGGTTAGATGTGTGAATGGGGGCCTATCTATAGTGGTCGAGGCAACCGTACGCCGGCTATAGGTGGCTTCCCTATGTCAAACCCGGGATAAAACCTCGGTGTGTACGGTGGATAGTGTCTATTGAAATGAGCCATATACTTAATGTCCCAGATACGATATCCTAGATCGAGGTGACGGGAACATGGGTTTAGGGGAGGCGTATGGATAACGACGAAGGCCCACGGAAAAGAGCTCACTCACCACATTCGATGACCCTAGATATCTATATATGCATAATGACCCTAAACTAGGGGGAGGATTAGTCCTCGAAGTACCTGCTTTTAGCTTTGGTCAATCCGTAGACTAGAGTTTCCTCATATCCTCCACTCAAAACCTTAAAAAATCGATTAACTAATTGGCAGCAAGGTGGGAAGTAGGGTAGGGTACCGGGACTCGGGTAGAATACGACATTGAATACCACTATACGACAACTTGTTCTAGGTTAAACTTGGCCTAGGATGGGGTAGTTGTGGATACGTGCAAACCTCTGACAAAAACCTGCACGGATTGAAGTGATCAATAACACTAACATCATATCAATATCATACCAACATTATAACACTACCATATCAACATCATACGACAATGATATTATATCGTTGTTAGTGATAATTCGTGATATGATGATCATAATTTTCTTATTTAAAAAATATCATAAATTGATATCATCATGAAAAGCACAAAAAATCGGATATTTCTATTCAAGATTTTTTTCCGGATAAGGGTGATATAAGTTTAATTTTTTTATGCTTAATGTAATATTTAAGAGATTCGAACCTGAGACCTCCAAGTTCTAGGCTAGTAGTATTACCATGCAACAATTTTTGAAATCCAACGTAATACAAATGAGTTATGGTTCGTTAAATTTTCGTGAGAGATTTGAAAAATACTTTATTAATATCTCGAAATTCGCGTCAGTTGGATATTCTCATTCAAGCCCTAAACCAAAGCTCATTCTTTTCTCTCATCGACATCTCCTTATGTTGATTCAATAGCAAGTGGATTCGTGAACAAGGTGGGTCGTAAACAAAGAACAAAAGTTGCACCCCTCAAAATTCGGACAACGGGCAGAAAATTCAGCAACTCTACTTATTTCCCACCTTACTCCTCTATCATATGGATAATTGAATCTTCCTTTATTAAATCACAATCAATCATATACCGCAAAACTAATGAGTTTTGTACCCTGAACCAAGTCATAAAACAAGCTCCATCTGACCCAAAAAAAAAAAAAAATCACGAATCAAAGGGGTAAACGCCTAAAAAGCCTTGGTTCATTCAACTATAGCTGAAGAGTCATGTCCGAGCAGGAAGCCCAAGTGTGGCTACCTTACCACATCCCCGATTCAGCTCGCGTGGCCCCCTTTAACAACAAGTCTTTCGATTCCATGACTGATTCTCATCCCAGACGCCCAACAGGTCCACGAGACTAACAGCAATACAAGTGCATCGACGGCCGCAATTGCAGTCTTTTGCTGGCACCCACCTGCTTCTACGCACAAAGTCATACAAACACACTTGGCTATGATATGATGGCATTGGTACAATATTTGACGGGAATGAATTATGCAAAATCTTCATGGTAAAGAATCAGTCGGGAATCTAAACCCCAAATGTCAGGAGGACACCCCTACAATACACAGAATAATGTAAAGATACAGCACAACGGCAGCAACCAGAACCCCCGTCAGGATAGCTCATACTAAAACATACATCGCCACAGCCTGCTACAATGCATTATCCCAATTTCTGAATAAGCTAAATCCAGTCAACAAATCAATTAGTTTACAACTGAGTGAGTTCTGGTGGGTACTCCATAGACTGTCTGTATATATACTCTGCCCTCCTCTTCTTGTCATCCCTCTCGTCCTCCCGGCCTAATGACTGCTCTGAATTCTGATCTCCATTCCCCCTTCTTTGTAAGATGCACATCTAACGGTTCAACTAACATCCTCTCCCTAGTTTTAAACCTAAACTTCACAGTATGCCTCTTCTCTGGGAGCAAAGTCCTTCCCCCTTCACCATCACCATCCTCATTAACCCCTACTTCTTTAGCTGCCTCAATAGCTGGGGCAAACGGCTCCATCACAGAGACATGCTTCTCCATATTATTTGGCACAGGAACCGAAGTACCCTTCTCCCCAGGCTTCAAAAGTTGCCTGAGGAAAGGGTTTCCATCAGTTACACCCGTTTCCTTGACATATTCACTAGCCAGCACACCAGATGACGAAGCACCTGCTGTGCGATTACTGGCCAGCCTCTGCTGCAGACTCAACAAAGCCCGCTCTGCCTTTCTCCTTTGGCGAGCTTGCTCAATCTTCTCTGCCCTAGGATCTGAAACCCTCTCATCCCACATTGGTGTATGCATATATGTGTGCTGATCTGGCAATGCCGGTAACCAAGCCGGAATATGATTCCCCGGAGGTGTTTCGTTCATTTTCTCAAAACTAGGAATTAACTTGCTCTCTCTAACAATGGGGAACTGTGGTACTGGTTGTGCAAATGGGATCTCTTCCTCAGACTCCACAAAATCAATTATATCTCTAATAGTGCCAGAACTAACAAGACAACTACCGGAATTATAAGCACCTGGAAATCCTTGATAGGAGCCAATATCTTCAAAACCTCGAACAACATCGAAGATGCTACATTGCGTTCTGCCACATATATTGGCATTGGAGCTTGCTGTCTTGCCCAGGTCACGGAGATACCGGAGGGTTACGTCAGTTAGTGCATCCAAGGCCGACTCTTTCAACCCCTCAAAGCCAACCTTTTCACAAACCTGAGCTACAGCCTTTCTGGCCACTGCGTAGCCAAAGTCGTCAGCTTTTGATCTTCCCGGTGTACTCTCTGCACCTCCATTGCTCATATTTGCACCTTCATGTCAAAATTAGGGTTTCAAAACACCCCCAACCTGAGCAGTTATTCTCATAAAATTCATAAACCTAGACTCATCCCAATACACACCACGAAGAAACCATTAACCGAACTAAATAATAGAAAATCTCGCTCATCACGTCTCCCCAAAGCTCGGCAGGGAAGAGCACAGGCGAAAAGAATGATTAACCAATCCGAATCAGTCCCAGCTCAAGAAGGATCTCTCAGACAAGAAAGCAGCAGAACACAGATCGAACCTTGCCCCTTGAGTGAATTGCACAACCCTAAAACCCTTGAAAAAGAATTTCCATAGCAAAGAAGGGTGTCCCCGAAAGAAGCAAACCGAAGGTAAAGATTCGGTAGAAGAAAAGAGAAAGATAAAACCCTAGCCAGAAAGCGAAGCCCTGAGGGGTTTTCGCGAAATGAGGAACGCGCGGGATGGAAGAAAGTTGGGATTTTTGGAGGGAAATTGGGGATGGCCTCACTTTTCAAGCGGTTGGGAGTGGATTTGGAAGCAACAGAAGGGGAGAGGAGAAGAGGGGAAGAAGAAGGGGCGTGATTCGATGCAGCTGATTAGACTAGAGGGCCGGCATTGCCAAGAGCGGCACTGTTTTTATTTTTTTATACACCGAAACTCTCGAGTCTCGAGAGAACGACTTTCATCCCTCACGCGCTCTATCACGGTACACGCTCCCCTCGGTAAGTCTCCGATTGGGCCTTTAGCCTTTTCAGTGATGGGCTTTTATAGGCTTCCCGATAGACCAGGCTTGCCCGATAAAGATGGATGGGTTGTTTTGCTTTGGTTTCTTGTTCAGCTTGGCTGGTTGGTGGGAGAGGAGAGGAGAGGAGTGGAGAATGGTGGAGAAGTAGTTTGGGAATGAGTATCGGGCGACCCCGGAGTGCCGCACGCGGACCAGGACAGGTTCTTCAAGGTATACAGTCAAAATCGCAATTTAAAATTTAAAAATTTACGATTTTACGTTTCAAGATAGTTAAAATGTTTTCTATACACATAAAATCTTTAGTGTCTAAAATCCGCTAAATTACACGTTTGGTCACTCGAATTACATAAATATTTCACATTTGCCATCAGAATTACTTTTCTTTCTTATTGGCCACTAACTTTACAAATCATTTCATCGTTAGTCACCGACCGTTAGTCTCCGTCAGACTCCATTAACTCAGTTAAATTTTTGGTGACGTGGCAAACAGAACTCCTGACTGTACTAACAGAATATGTAATTTATTATCAAAAAATACAAATAAAAAAAATCATCAATCATCCTCAATTAATCCTTCCAAGTTCCACCTTAACAACTTCCCTTTCCCAAATTATCCCCTTCCTCTCCATCAAATTCCCACCTTCCTCTCCTCCACTGCTTCCCATTTCCCAATCTCTTCCGCCATCAAAATCTAAAAGCCTCCTCGGCTTGTATGCTCTGCCTCCGAAGATACCCACAACAACTCCACACGCGCCACCTCCTCGCCTCTCAAGGACTTCTCTGCCGCCCTAGCTCTCTCATCGATCCTTCTCTTCGCCCCGCTCCCGCCCGTCGCCGACATCTCCAGCCACAGCCCGTGCAAGTAGTCAGTTTGCCAATCGGGAGAAGCCGTCCCTGAAGAAGATGGAGTTGTCGCTGAAGCTCAATGCCCCCGCCCTGGCGATCAAAGCCACCATCGAGAAGACCAAGCGCCGGTTCGACTACCAGGGGGCATCTTGAGAGTGTAGGAATTTATTGATTTCAAACTCTGGGTTTCACCGACGAAGAAGAGAGAGGAAGGAATCTCTACGCTGGATTATTTCCGGTAGAGTGGAGCAGATCTCTAGATCTAGGCAATTTCCGACGAAGGATTGAACGTCAATATACAGCCACCATCTTGGTTCTTCTCTCTGCGACGTTATCGTTGAGGAAAGTGGAGACGGCGGCGTCGAGATCCACCGGCTTTATCCTATTCCTTTGAGAAGGGTTTCACCCCTGCATAAACGGATCGTCGAAAAACCCAAAACAAAATGTTAATATTTCACCCCAAAACAAAATGGAAATTTGAGATCCAATTTGCCGGTGCTGGTAAATGTCAATTTTTATTTTCAAGCCCACAATCAATCAAGCAAAAAAAAATTTAATAGAATATTATTATGATCTCCGGCTCTCCGCACATGGCCAAATCGATGAGAAACAATTTCCAATTCGTCGTCGGTTCCCATATCAACGGGGAAAGCGAGGCATTGGGGAACACCGGCGAGAAGAAGCCAGAGAGGGCTCGGAGTGGATGGCTTTCTCGACCTTGGTGGAAGCAGCTGGCGAAATGCGGAGGGAGAGGATGAGGTGTTAATTAACAATTTGTTTTATTTTTTTAAGTTGACATGTCATTAAGTCAACTGTCCAGTCAACATTTCCGTTTGCTATGTCATAAAAAATTGACAGAGTTAACAGAGTCTAACGGAGACTAACGGTCGGCGACTAACAATGAAATGTTTTGTAAAGTCAGTGGTCAATAAGAGAGAAAAGTAATTCGGGTGGCAAACATGAAATATTTATACAATTCGAGTGACCAAACGTGTAATTTAGTCTTGTAAAATCAGACTAAATTGTGTTTTGAAGGTTAAAAGCTTACGCTTTTACGTTTCTCGTTCACCAAAATGCTTTACGGTTTTACGCAAAACCTTTTATATTTGAGATTAAAAGATACAGGATTTTTTTTCAGAAATAGCATTGTTAAAATTTTTTTTACAAAAATAGCACCCAGTCCCGAAAAATTCTAAAAATAGCACCCTATCAGCAAAACCGCCACCCCTCCCTGCGGTTTACACGAAAACCGCTAAGTGGGGCACGGTTTTTTATGAAAACCGCATGGTTATGGGGCAGTTTTGAAAACCGCTCGGGGTGGGGCGGTTTGGTCCAAAACCATTTCCAACCTTGCGGTTTGGTCCAAAACCATTTCCAACCTTGCGGTTTGGTCCATGAATTTTTTTTCCGAAAAATCCTAACCTAGGTGGAAACTTCAAACAAACGTATCTTTGTGTTCGGGAATCCGATCATCGCGATTTTTTTTTATTCCCCATAACTTTTCAAGATCTTGCAAGTCGCACCTTTGTCCTGAAAAAATATCCTTTGCTACCCCGAGCGAGTCTTTTTCCGATTTCGTCAAACTTTGGACGACCATAACTTTGTGCTCCAAAATCCGAACGTCATGAAATTCTTTTTTCATTTCGCATAACTTTTTAAGGACTACAACTTTTATCATAGACATAATTTCATAATGTACGTGGATTTTTGAAAAGGGAAGGTAAAGTTATTCCCAAAACCCTATATATCCAAAAATAATTCCTGTTTTGAAAATTTTTCCTAGAAAACGTGTAGTCCTTCAAAAGTTATGCAAAATGAAAAAAACATTTCATGAAATTCGGATTTTGGAGCACAAAGTTATGGTTGTTCAAAGTTATTGAAGATTTTTAGCGTTCAAGGACTAAAACTTTGTCAATATGTAATTGTTTCAATAAAAGAGTTGTAGTTTGGTGGTGTAGATCATGTGCTAAATTTAGTTTACTATTTATTATTTGGGTTCAAACCACCACCACCACACCATTTTGCTTTTTTTAATGTCTACTAAATAAAAAGATTTAATATGGGATGATAGTGTTTCGAACCAAGGACCTCTTGCACACTAAGAAACAACTAAATCAATTATACCAAGACCAATTATGGCAATTATTTGGAAAAAAATTATTACAAAACCGCCGGGCGGGGTGGCGGTTTGCACCCAAACCGCTCTGGCCACATGTGGTCAACAAAACCGCCCCCTACCCGTGCGGTTTTCATAAAAAACCGGGGCCCCACCCTGCGATTTTCGAGAAATGGTGCTATTTTTGGAATTTTTCGGGACTGGGTGCTATTTTTGGAAAAAAAATTCAACAATACTATTTCTGGAAAAAGTCCAAAGATACATGGCAGGTACTTGGATGCATTCTTAGTTTCAATAGAATAATCAAATTCACCCCACCTAGGCTCTTTTCAAATTCATTAGCATAGAGGAAAATGTGGCTTATTGTTAATATCTATGCTTATGAACTTATCACTATAATGTTATGAGTTTTTCTACTTTGGACATGAATTGCGGGTATTTATTAGCTTATATAAATTCTATGTACTCATCTTTTACATAGTATATGTCATACTTAACACATTTTTAGCTATTTTACAGTATGCATTAAAAACTTACACTTTTACGTTTTGATTCTACGCTTTACGATTTTACTCCTTTTCCGTTTTTAGGTAGAATCGGACTTTTGACTGCATTGATATAGATTGGGTCGGCAACTTTCTCTGCTCTCACCTAGGTAAACCCCTACATGTGGCACCTCACTAACTAGTTCAAGTGCGCTTCTCTCTTTGTGTTTTTCGGCGAGGAAAACTTGGTTGTTTGGTATTAATCATTTGCATCTTTGACTTCTTGAACAACGATTCTAAATAAGCTTCACACCTCTCCGAACAATGTTCGAACGAGGGTGTTTGATGTTTTTGATGGTTTGTTGGGAACAAGCTAAGTTAATCACACATACTCCTATGGAGGTTCAGTGAGAGCTCCGGAAACTAAAAAGCTATGGCTAATTTGCAGAGAAAAGATAAAAGTTTGACATTGTGTGTCAAGTGTTTGGTTGTGGAACCTTTGCTTCTTCTTCTTTTCTCCTATTTATAGCTACTAGGTGTACCTGCCTTGGTAACCGCCCTGGTAACTACTAGCCGACCTGTTGCTCCAACCACCTTAGGACTCCTTAACCCATCTTGATTACCGCCAACGAGTCGTCTGCTTCAACCACCTTAGGGACCCCTTGTCGTCACCTTGGTGGCCAATTGGTAACCATTGTCTTGGTCTTCACCCCCATTTCCTTGGGGCTCGTTGTCCCGTCTTGTTGACTGGTTGGTACTGTCATCTGGGTGACTTGGCATCAGGCTTGATGAGTTGAAGTTTATCTTGTCGCATCGTCTTTACTAAAAGGGGTTGGGGCCTCCTTGTCTTGCCTTTATAATATTGGCCCTCTCATCGAGGCTCTTTGACAATCCCGACACCTTGACGATTTCATACTTAGTTCATTTGATGTCGCCTTACTATCCACCTTCATCTTGTTAGCTAAGCCTTGTTACTCATCTAGACATGATGAAAACTTGGCATCTTCCCCCACTAAGTCTCCACATTTATTCTTAGGGAGTTTGACATTGCACCTAACTTGTCATCTTGGTATCAAGCCCGTCTCGTCGGCTTGGAACCTTGCTACCAAGCAAACCCTGCCGGCTTGGTCTTCATACTTAACTTCTTGAATCTTATTAAGTTGGTACCTTGCACCCTGCCAGCGTGGTGCCCCGTTGGGGGGCCACCAGGCCTGTCTTGAGACTTAGTCTCCATATGACCCCCTAAGGGGTTCAACACCAGTTTCCCATCAAGTTGACATCATGTCAGCTCAGTACCTTAGCTGGCAAGTCTCCACCCTTGAGGTTCCATATATAGATCTTGATAATCTAGGAATGGTCCATGGTGCATTGGTACCCAACCGAGTAGCCACCTCAGATGACCACCCTATCACCGCTTGTCGCCTTGATATCCAGACTTAGTTTTTGTATGAATCTCTAATTGGTACCTGGCTTGGCCCCCTATTGCCTGCCCACCAAGCCAGTCTTGCCGGCTTGGTTCCCCCTTGGGGTCATGGTACCCTGTCCGCC